CACCGCAGGACACCGCAGGACACCGCAGGACACCGCAGGACACCGCAGGACACCGCAGGACACCGCAGGACACCGCAGGACACCGGGGTCTCCCAGGGTAGAGGTGGAACCCAAAAGGGGGTGAATCCTTCAAGCGAGATAAGTCAAGAAGCGTGGAACGGCTTGGAATGGGAATCTGAGGTTGGAATGGATGAGAGGATGTCCCGTCGACTGTCCAACAAGAAATCTTCACCTTCAAAAATGTCTTCCTTATCTTCCTTGGACAGTTGAATATGGGAAGGAATAAGCAATAAATGTCTTCATTTTGCCTTCAACTGTTTTCCTTATCTACCTTATCAGGAAGGCAAACATGTTCTTATCTTTCTTTGACAACAACACTGATCTTCCACCACCAACCACCCATCCGTTCCGCGCAGATTCCAACACTTGCAGTGTCGCGTTCGCGAGTCTTTCGCGGGTCTTGCGCGTGTCGTGCTCGCGTGTCTCTCGCCTGAGGCCGTTCAAGACCAAGGTCTGGTGTGTCTCAGCCAAGCCGATCTCCCAAGGCAAACCTCGGGCCGTTCCGTCGCGGTCGTCATGTCGAGAAGCCGTCGAACAGCGCGACGGTCATGGATGTTAGACGCGTGCGCGCTTGGGGGATGTAAGAGATGTTAGACGTCGGTGAAATCTTGACCGAAGACCATGTGAGGTACCTCGAAAAACACAAATATATTTGTGTATATAATATATAATATATATATAGAGAGAGAGAGAGATTGATTATAATAGAGAGAGGGAGAGAGAGTGAGTATCTATTGCTTTTGCTGGTCTTGCTTGGAGGACCCTCCAGCTTCAAGTCAGGTCCTTTGTTACCCGACCCTCCTTCCACCTGGACCGCCTGGACCGCCTGCTCCGGTTCTGAACGTTGAAGCCAAAACGGTTGGTCCACTCGGAAGGGTCCCCCGAGTGAAAGCCTCTGAGCAGGATGATGTCCAGGTCCTTCACCGCAAGAGAACGTCAGCCCGGATCAGCCCTCCCCCATCGTTCACTCCAAGTCATTTTTCAGCGATCTCAGCCGACGTCGGCACGAAAATGACTTGCAACCACCAAGATCTTTCGTAAGATGTCTGACCACCGGATAGTCCGAGTATCATATGGTTGACCATATGGATATGTTTCGCAGTTAGGTGTCTGTCATGGTGCTGTGACCAGACAATATACCAAATCACGTGTTCACCATTGACTGGCCCAGGGTCAAGGCCAGGTCGGGAAGAATTCTGCTGGATGTCCATCATCCTGCCGTTCGACTAGAGTCTAGAGGTCCTATACCTCACAACCGTAGGCCCATTTTTCCGAGAGTCCATGTACTGAAGCACCTGCAGGCCCCACGAAAATCAACAAAACGCTCTCCCGGCAGTCACATGTCGGGGTGCGATCCATGGAGGTAGTCGGGGTGCCCATTCTCCACTCACTTGGGGACTAAACACCACCCCATCTTGTGACTCCTGCTCTTTGAATGGATCCCAAAGAGAAAACAACGATCCCAACTCCGGGTGGCCGCAGTGCTTGATGGAGCCCCACTTGGCCGCGCCGGTGCCGCCAGACATGCCGCTGATGGTGAGGTGATCCGCCTTGCCTTTCACCACACCTGCACGCGCAGAGCCGCGCGCGAAGCGGCTCCGCGCGCAAAGCCGAGCACGAAGCACCCACGAAGAGCCGCCCCACGAGAAGAAGCACGTTCAGAGAGGAATGGGATTTTCTGGATCCCTTCCTTTGCCAGGAGTCACAAGACGGGGTGGTGTTTGATCCCCAAGTGAGTGGAGTAGCTGGGCACTCCGACTACCTCCATTAAGCTCGCACCCCGACTTGTGACTGCTGGTGCATAGGTTGGAAGGTGAAGCGATGCCATGCACCGAAGTACCGAATGAGCACCAGAAAGCACCAAGAGCGGTGCAGCAAAGTCCGTCCCATGGATCGTCAGATGTCGTCCCGAAAACAAACCGCCGATGGTCCGGGTTTTGAGATCTTTCGAGATCTTTTGAAGATGTCCGGGAGTATGAGATGCTTTGAGGAGTCATGTTGAATTCATCTCTATCGGTTAGTTATATCATCCAAGCACTCTACACGGTGCTCCTCCTCGAGAACGATCTGCTGCGCACGCCACTTCCGCCCGAAAAAGCGCCCGGCCAGCGCCCGGCCTGAGGCGATGACCCCAATGCCGATACGTGCGACCAGCTTCACCGAGATCCGCGCGGAGGGGTTGGCGTTCTTGAGGTCCTGTGGGACTGTGGATGGAGTGCGGCGAGTGGAGGAAGACGAGGCCCTGGCGGGGTCCTGTGGTGTGGGGATGTTGATCTGGAGGAAGATGTGGAGGGTTGGCAGGTTCTGCTGAGTCAAAGGTGTGGGCATTCCACAGAACTGTTGAAAAACCGCCGTGGGGATGGAGTCTGGACTCAGGTAGGAGCCGAACTTGGCAATGGCTTGGCTCTTGGGAGCTGATGAACTTGTCGCCACAAGAAGAAGCAACTGTTCCAAAATCCAGGCAAAAGTGTTCCTTTCTTCAAGTGCTGAAGGTGTCGACTCCATTTACTGGATCTTCTGATCTTCTGGAGTGTGGGCCCATTAACCCCATGAAACACCAAAAAAAGGGCCCGCACAAACGAACGGATGAAGGAATGTTCATCCCCCAGCCTTGATCAGCTGCGCCACGTCCTGGCCACGTGTGTCCGGATGGGAGAGTGACCTTCTTGACCTTCTTGTTGGGGGGGTCTATGTTCATGGGGTAGATCTAGGCAACTACATGTGAAACGCAGGACCTTCCACCCTTCGTTTGGTGGATGGGCCCCTCTGTCGGCACCTCGGCGATTTCGGCAGTCCCCGGTGTCGGTCCTGGTACGTAACTGACCTGTCCAGTCTGGTCCTGATCACCTCATGTGTTTTGGGTGGTGTTTTTGTACCTGGAGCCTTTTTGTGACCCCTGGAGCTTGGAGGATCAACTATCCAAAATATGGTCAAGCTTCCTATCAAAACAGAGGTCAGTCAGGCTCTAGGTAACTTACTGTATATGATCAACTCCAGAAGTGCATTGCTCAGCTACCTGCTGGTGGCCAGTGGCGAGTCCTGTTTTCTGAAACTTGGGAAGTGGAAGTCGAGAAATCAGCTTCGCAAAAAGGCAACAAGCTCCTAAGAACCAGACCAGTCACAGTCTCCGTCTGCGAATCAACTACTGCAAAGCATCCTCCCCAAACTCCCCAAACCCCCCCCCAACCTCAAAACCCCAACCATCAACCACCCATTCTGTCCTGCTCGCACGAAATCATCCAATAAAACGATCAAAAGGTCCATAAAGGTCCATCCAGTTCCTCTCCACCCCCAGTCAGGCGCCCAAAACGAAACAACGAAAACAACAAGACTCTGCCCATCCCATCCGGTTCCTCGATGGAGTACATGTCGTGATGCGGCGGTGGGCTGATCAAGCCCACGCCCGGGGTCGCCTTCCGCGTCTCGGCGATCTTCCCAATCACCTGCGAGGCGCGCAGACCGCATGTCCGTGCCCAGGGCGAGCAGACCCCGGTCGGACCGCCGGCGGAACGACCACCGGAACGTGAGAAGAATAGTGCACTCAGGATGAGCAGTCAACTTTTGATTTGTAAGACTTGTAAGCTTCTTTCTGAACTGCACAGTGAATCTACATAGTCAATGTGGAAGGTGGTTCAAGAGCTTGGCGCAATTCGAGCGCCTGCTGCGTTTTGTTGGTGTTCCTTTTGTTTTCTCTAGAAGATGCGCAGAGTGAACGTGAATTCATTCTTTTGGACTGTCGCAGCCTTTTTGTTTGCATACATGAATGATGCGAAAGGCATACCGGAAGGCTCACAGAGGAGCGTGGCAATGAAGATCTCTCTCTCTCTCCCGTTTTTATTGTTTTAGATCAATTGAAGAGCTGAGACCACCGGACATGATCTGAGAAAGCGAAGTGCATCAGAATCTGTTTTGACACGAGATCGGAAGACTGTCCTTTTTGTTATTTAACTGATTGATCCCTGTGGTGAAGCTGCGTTTGACGCCGGCTTGAACTTTGCGTGTGTTTGTTTTTTCCTGTTTGAGATCAAGAGAAGTGAGATCCGAGTGGCTTGAAATCCATTCAAGCACCATTCATTTGTCAAGATGACCGCACAAATCAATTTGGGCCAACTTGGCTCAAGTGCCAATACCTCGAGCTGACCGCGTGAAAAGAAAGCCAGCTTGTGCATGCAAGAGAGGAAACTTTGAACTGGCCTGTTGGCTCTTTACAGAACGCGGTCTTCAACGACGCAAGGGGACCCGTTTGGAGCGCTCCAAAAGCCGTGTGGAGGCGGCCAAAAGAGGCCACAAAGGCCCACCAGGTGTTGGAGGCACTTTTGGAGATTGATCTGTGACAAGCCCCAACCCACAGCAAGACTCCTCCTTAAGATGAGGCCAAAATTCATGGCCTGCAGAGCGAAATGTCTGTCTTCCCCCTGAATCATCGTCCAATGAAGGACCATAAAGTAGTGTATCATAAGGTCGTCTAGCAGGACCCTCCAAGAGGTGTCTATAAATAGCCTCTTAGAGGTTAGGAGGCGTCCAAAAACCACCTGTTGGAAGGTCCTGGTAGGCGATTCGGATCCCGAGCTGCACCGGTAGCTCTCCACCCCCACCCAGCAGCGCCTTGTGCCCAGGTAGCTCTCCGCCCTCACCGGGCTTGGCACCCTGGGCGAGCCTCAGCAGATGGGGAGGGTCATTTGGTGAGTGGCCACCTGAAAAGCGATGAAGTGATGAGTACCAAGGACTCTATGGGTCACCTATTCACCAATGATTCGACCTGGGAATGGGCCCAACCACTGGAGAAAAAAAACCTCAAGGGTCTAAGACCTGGCAGTGGCTCGGGTACTGGAAATGTCATATACCAAAAATCAGCAGGAACGGGATCCTCCAAGACCGGCGCTGTCCGCCCAACGTCCTGTTCATCCGAAGGGACCGAGGAAATGGTAGGAAGAACCGGCCAAACGCGGTCGTGGTGGTCGACCCAGACCTGGGTCTTTTCTCTTCAGAGGCCCATTTCCTTACCACCGATGGTCTTAAGTCTTGGAATCGGTGAAGGAAGCCCAAAACTGGAGGGGAGAAAGAGTCGGGGGTTGCATGAAATCCGATTTCTGTCACTGTGCTTTTCGTCCACAAAGCCTGCATGGTTCTTTGGGCCTCCCTTCGATGGTTCGTTGCCTGAAATCCGAGTGCTCGTCTTCTTGCCTTCATGAACCAGCAGGGGACACTGTCCAGATCTGTACAGCACCCTCTACAGGGTGCTGAAATGGAGACTTACCCTCCCTCCAACAATCATAGAAGTGGAAAGAGGCCTGTTACTAGATGAAAGCAGTCTTCCAAGGGGCCATGTTCCACTTCCATGTTAGCTGGATGGAGACTTAAAAGATCTTTAAAGTGGTGGCAGAGTCAGGTGCCGCTGCCACCGAGCCACCTCGTCGTTGGAGCAAGTCAGTCTATCGAGAGAAGAGATGCTCACTCCAACCTATCTTCTGGGATTGGCATTGGAATAGCGTCCCAATCTATCCAGCGGGACTATGGTGAACCATGGAATATGCCAGTACAGAGGTGTGTGTCTTCCCAAAAGAACCTGCTCCACTCTTCGGTCCAGTCCAGTATTCACAGAACCAGCACCTGAACCCACAGCGCCCCAGCCCTGAACCCCGCAGAAGGCACTTGATCTGGAGCTCGTCCGCGTTCGCCAGGTACTCCGCCGTGACGCCGAAGCGGCCGGAGGCCACCTGCGACGGCGGTTGAGAAACACACCACGGACGGGTGTGGATTCGAAGATCCGGAGCTGGAGCTGGTGTGCAAAGCCCACCTATATAAGCCTCAACGAAGCCAAGACAAGCCAACTCTCAAATGCTTCAACTCAGATTCCACAAGCACCGCAAAAGCCGGACCTCCCACATCCCAGCTCCCTCCGACCTCAGTCCACCTCCTCTCGCATGATCCATCCCCAAACTCCTCCTCCTCCCAGCTCCTCACACCTGCTCCGACCGCCTCCTTCCACACAAGGACCACACCCCGCCTGCTTGATCTTCGACCGGAAGGTGTCGCCTCCCTTGATGTCCCACTGCACGGCCCCAGCATTGAACTGCCCAGCCTCCAACTGCGTGAAGCGCATGGGGTCCTGCACACGTGCGCGGCGCGCGGCGCGCGGGCACGCGCAAGAGGTCGTGGATGTTTGGAGTATTTGTGGTCCTTGGAAGGAGTGGACGACAGTATGGAACAGTAGAAACCATGACCAACAGAGGTGCCAATGCATGAAACTTGGGGGGGTTCTTCCTGGCTTCCACTTCAAGTGTTGCATCTTGGACGACCAACTTCATTCCCCTTCTTTCGGCCCTGTAGTTTTGCCCGCGCAAGATTTGAAAAGCAAAAAGAAAATGTGCACAGACCAACTGGAACATGCATGAGAACTGAGGTCCCCCCCAGCACGTTGAGAATGCTTACCTGATGGTGCCAAATGATTCTAGAAGTAGGAGGAAGGAGAAGGAGGAGGAGGAGGAGAAGAAGAAGAAGAATACGAAGAAAAAGAAGACGAAGAAGAAGAAGAAGACGAGGAAGAGAAATACCAATCATGATTATTCAAACACTCAAAGAAGATAAATACCATTTTAAAAAAGTAACATACTGAATGATTTTACCATGTTCCCTTGTAAACGTCCACCCCCGCCTCGCCACCCTCGCCAGTGTTGCTCTTTCCTCCAATGCGGTTCCTCAGAGGGGCAAATAGCCACCAAGGACCCTTAAAGCTGTTGGAATCAGTTCATGGTGGGGAACTGAATCAGAAAGATCCATAAAGTTGACCAAAGTGGATTCAATTTAAATACTAGACATCGCACAACAGAAAGAGATGCATCACCAGCATCATCAGCTGCGTCAATTACAAGATATCCGGGCTGCTATCCATGGAGCCTTCGTGAGAGAACATTGGCCTCCTGGCTCTCAAGAAATATACTGTAATACCTCCTGAAATCCCCCTACAACATCTACACTCCCGAAAACTAACATAGACCCTGACGTCCTGGCAGCCTGGAAGAGTGTTTTCCTCTACCAACCAGTGGTTTTCAGGGCCCATGGGATCGTCTTGTAGGGTGTACTCCCCCATTCCTTGAAAAAATATCAAATCTCAAAGTGTTGTACCCCCCCCTAGGGCTCCTGTCCCATCTCCTCAGGTGGACCGGTGGTATTCGACCCCCCAAGACCTCCCACCCCTGGCCCATCTTCAAGAGCTCGTTGGAGCCCTAGGGCCCCTAGGGCCATCAATTCCGCGCCCTTCGGAACTTTGGCCTCCAACCTCTCGTGCAACCCCGGTCTCCTCATCCCACCACCCTCCCCCATCGCCACCGACCCCCGACCACGAGGTACTCCGACCTCCAAGCGGCATGGCGATGGCCATGGCGCGGTGCGCCTCGTCGCTGATGGAGCCGAAGGAGGCGGCGCCGGTGCAGAAGCGCTTCACGATCTCCACCGCGGGCTCCACCTGAGGTCGTGGCCCGCGGGCTCCGACGAAGCGGCAGAGAGAGGCGATCAGGAGCCTCCCGAGGTCGGAAGGTGGATCAGGAGGTCGGACGGGAGAAGGGAGAAGGGAAGGGAGTGTGGTAGTGGTTTTGTGAGGTCAATCAAGATGTGGTAGTAGTGCATTTATTTTTGGGGAGCTAGGGAGGTAGGCATTCATATAGGTGAACGGTAGCTTTTGCTATGAACAGGGAACGGCTCCATGTTGACTGCAACTGGAATGGAGCTGGCATATGTTGGAAAAAAACCTTGGACCGGCTATATGTGACTGAAGAACTGATGATGAGTCTATCCTCCATCTCGAAAGCAAGTACACCCTGCAAGACGATCCCATGGACCCTGAAAACCACTGGTTGGTAGGGGAAAACACTCTTCCAGGGGGCCAGGACGTCAGGGTCTATGTTAGTTTTCGGGAGTGTATGATTTGGGTCTATCGGAGTCTACCTGTAACAGTGGATGATGATGGTTCAGTTGCAGGCCTTGTTGACTGACTGTTACAGGTATATTTCGGACAGACCCTAAGTATCGATCATATCCAAGTTTGGTGCAAACTCACAATGCTCCACACTACTAGCGCTGCTAGTACTACCCAAATGGTTAACTTCAAGCTCCAGCCAGACATCACAACCTGCTTTGGCTTCGTCGGCGGTCTTCACTGTTCCTCCTCAACATCTCTTCGGCGCGCATCCCCGGACGCGATGCAGCAAGACGACACTTGAAGACGAAGACCCAGCAAGAACGCCCCCGCACCAAATCGAAACCCTCCAGGGGGTGTATCACCAAATCTCATGCGGGGCCAAAAGGGCCTGTCTCCCTCATGAGGCTCATGAAACTCCCCCAGCCAGAGCCGGCCTCGTTGAGGGGCACCGGACTGCACTCCTCATCGCGGAACTCCAACTGCCCGCGAATCTCCGTCTGCTCCGTAATCCTCCGGAGGCCGTGGGTGGCAGTTGTTCACGGTTTGGCATGGTGAACGACTGATGGAAGGATGCCAAAAGCACGATGCTTTTAACTTTTTGCGGTGTTTTCGGTGTTGCAGTTTGGCAGGTGCCACTGTCTCTTTTCCAAGTTAAAAGGCTGCAAATGTCCATCGCGCCAGCGCTACAAGCACGCCAGGGCACTTGTTCTGCCATGTGGAGAACATCTTGTAGGCATCCGCTGAGTTGGTCTTTGCAGCCTCTTGCCTCGCATGTTCCAAACATAAAGAACAGCATGGCAGAAAGCTGCGACATGCTTCGACCTGCTTTCCCGACAGCTGAGGCAAGGTTTGTCTGTGAAATTGCAGGAGGTTCTTGCGGGGTGCTCTCAGGTGTGGATGTCTCAAAAAAGTTCGTTGATGTCCTCAGTGAATTTGTCTTAGACTGCCACCAACTGTCTGTATTTATGGGGGAACTCCGGGAATCAACGGGTGTCCCCCACTATGCAAGATGCTGCATCCTCCCCGCGAAAGAACCAAAACCACCCCGCAACTTCTGAAACAAGACTTCTGCTCCCATTCCTCCCAACACCTTTTGGTTCCTGCAAGCCGCATCTTATAGATCACATCAGGAGTGTTCCTTGGCACGGGAAGCTGGCCCAACTGCGGTGGCTAGTGCAGTGGATGGAGCGATCATGATCTGGCTAGTGAGAAACCATCCGAGAGGAACATCATACATAATCATATACCTGGACCATCCAATGGATGTCCTGGCTGGACTGCCCTACACTACTTAGGGATCTCCAGCCAGGACACCCATTGGATGGTCCTGGTATGCTATATGCTATATTGTCCTACAAGTCCAAAGACTCAGTAAAACCTGGTCTTTGACCTCAGTAAGTATTGGTTTTGTATGACCATCTCCAGTAAAATGAGGTCTTTGACTTGTAGGGTTGTATAAGGCCCAACTACAGGGATGGCTCTTCAGATTCCCTTCTTTGGTATCATCGTTGAGGTCAGAAGTCTCACCAAGCTCTGACTCGTCGAATTCGCCAGATTCGGTCCCTGTGGGTGAGGAGCAGGGTGGAAGGAGCAGCTCAACGTTGCCATGCGGCCATGCGTGAGCATACGTCTTTTTTCGGGGGTTGGAGGTCCAAAATATGCCCCGTGTTGGTGGTCGATGTTCTATCTACTGGTGCTTCTGGTCGCGGTCCCTGACAAAGCCAGGAAGTCCAGAAGAAATGCTGAAAAACAGCTGTTCCTTGGCTCAGTCTGGAGACCGGAAAGTGGTCGGAACCAATTTCGACATCACGACCTGGCCCCTACAACTCTGAAAAGTCTGACGCACTGCCTGCACAATTTGTGGGTTTCTTGGTTCGGTGTGTTTCTGTCTCTCCTTCATCAAAACCCAGAGTCCACCACCTCCAACCCAACTTCCCACCGTTTGATTTGACCTCCCACCATACTTCTCCTCCTCGAACGCCACGAACCCTGCGCGCCAACCCCCCGCGCGCCACCGGGGCACATGTGGATCTCTGTCTCGTGGATGGATCGGAAGTGATACTCGCCGAAGTCGTCCAGCTCTTCCACCTGCCCGGCGACTCACGCCGCGCAAAGCGCGCGGCGGCCGAACTGGGCCACCGCGGTGCGCGGCAGGCCGAACGGTGCCACCAGGGGCGAAGAAGGTTCGAAGAGGAGGAGGAGGAGGAGAAGGAGGGTTCAGGGGTTCAGGCTTCACCCATCTGATTGGGGAGAAGCGCTTGGGATGTTTGGGATGTTGGTGGAAAGTGCCGACCTGGATGGTTATATAGTTCATTGGAACAAACAGAATTGGTGAACGTTGAAGAGTTTGAATCGTTCACATGCCTAAAGCATCCTAAAGCCCAAACTCGCAGGTGGCCTGGCTCCCTACTCCGCGGTTGAGCTTCTTCCACATCATGGAGAGAAGAGTCAGCTGACTGCTCAAAACTGATAAAGCGGCTCATAGGTGTCACCCAAAAAGTCCTCCGAGACTGAGCTGTGACTTGGTGCTGTAGCTCCCTCTATCTGCCTCCTCAACAGGCAAATGGCTTTCTGGGTTTGAAGGCCGATCACCAAACCGGCCTCAAGTGTGGTTGCTGGTTGCCTACAACCAGTGCCTACAACCAGCAACGGGCAACGGGGATCCTCTCCGGAATTCTGGGGTCACAACTGCACCACCGAACGGTGCGTCGGGTGGATGGATCCTGCCCACAACACGCACGCACGACGAGATGGCCGCAAGTGGCAGAGATCCGTGTGGGCCGCACAGATGTGGCCCCCATCTAGCCCCTGAGGCATGAAGAGTGTTCTTTGCCCTGCGAGTCCAGTCCATTTGTCTTTTTAATTGTCTTTTATGTAACCTGAAAAGGACTCGCGAAACCTGGCTCCAACACGGGCCTCCTCATCCACCAGCGCAGGCACCGGCCGTTCTGGGAAGGCCAACTTGTGCAGCTCCATGGCGTCCTGGCACGACGCGGAGGCGACGTAGGTCTTCGGCCGACTCGGTCTTCGGTGACACTCGAGGTGGTCTCGAGCGACACGAGCCGACCCATGACCCATTCCCAAGGCTCCTGAGACCCAGTCTGCGTCATCGGGGCACCATCATCAGAGACTATTGTCGTCTCTTTTGGGACTTTTTGGCTGGAACGCATGTGCGAAGTGGTTGTGGTCTGTGGCTGAAAAATTGCTATGAGGCCATGAATGGCTAGAACTCAATGGTTGGGATTTGACCGTCCCTGAAATCATCCTGGCACCTGTTTGAAACCATCGGGCCATCATAGGTCATCCTCGGGGGCCATCATACGCCATCCACCAAACCATCCGAGTCTTTCTGCACGCAGTGATCACCTCATCCGTGTCAATGAATTGAGTCTTGATTCACCTATCGATGACATGGGTAGGATGATAGGGGTTCATGGATAGGATGAATCACCATCCATGGATGGTGATTGTCTTCCCATGTCTGTGATTCACCTATTGAAGCATCAACCCTTCGCGTGAATTGGGTGAATCTGATGACTTCAAGAAGTTCAGTGTGGTTCCCAAAGCATCTTGGCTTCTTTTGCCAAGGCTGGTGAATCGCTCCCTTGTGCCATGCTTCCTCACTGTAAATACATTGGGTCTATCCTATTGCCAGAGGCCCAGTGGCTGATGATAGTTGCAGGCCGACATCCATCTCCAATATTGTGATGTTCTTGTTGACCGACTGTGACAGGGTCATGGGACAGTCCGACACCACTCGGTCGCCGACGCCTGGGAAAAGATGTTGAAGCCAGCACCATTGAGCACGAACTTGCCTTCACATCGGGACAGACGTCCCGGTGAGGAGGGACCCAAACACCGCCACAAAACCAGGGAAGAAACAGAAACAAGTCCATCAGCAGTTTCTACCCTACCCTCCAGAACATTCAGATGGACAAAGTGAAGAGCCTCTGACTTAGACCAACTTTCTCTAGGAACCAGTCACGGGCCCACGGGTGATCCCTGAAAAATGGTCCGCTGCCAATTGCGATGAAGAAACATTCCCAAGGAATGAAGGCAACGAAAAATCTTTCTAAGTAATGTAGACTCTTGACTATAAACCCTTCCATTTGAATTGGAAGTCCTCTTCAGTCTTACATTAAGTACAAGATGCGATGAAAACATGTCACTTGTACAGATCAGGTACTTGGATCCTCTAGACTCTACATCCAGCTCATGGGTGCACCCTCCAAGTGGAGCGCGCAAGCTCCGGACCCCTGGAGCTGAGAACCTCCCGAGAGGAAGGAGGTGGCGGCCAAACAGGTGGTGTCATCCGCCAAGGCATCCACTGTGCTCTACATAGCACCCATCCGAAACAAGCAGTTCAAGCGCTTGTGGAGATGCCATCTTTTTTCGACGATAAAACCTGTAGACAGACGAAGTCATTTGAATGCCCCCCTCCCCCAGACATGAATTGGAAAATCCTCTTCAAGCTTGGGGGGTGAAACATGTTCAATGGCATCTTTGATGGTTGCTTGGATGTCATCTTTGATGTCACGTCCACCCTTAGTCACTTTCATCAGCGCACCGCACTCAACACAAAACGCTCAAAAGCAGAGACCTGCTTCCCTGGTCTCCTCAACCCGTCAAACAGTTCAACTTCGTCCCACTCCAAGATGAACCCTACCCTTGACTCCTCGCAATCCATCTCACCTTCAACCGGAACCCTCAACAGCCTCCTCCTCCAATGCTTTCTTCCTCCTCCCATCGATTTCCATCCCTCCACCGCCGTCGCGACCGTCGGCTCGCTTCGGCTCCCTCTCGCCCCCGAACGGAACGAACCGTGACGGCAGGCTCGACGGAGGCGGAAGGCAGCGGTTCGTCCAGGCGGCAGCCGGTGAAACACCGGGAGATGACCTCCTTGTCCAGTCCAACTGCTTGGAACAGCTGAGCCCCCTGGACGGGACGGTTTTCTTGTCCGATGGTGAGCAAAACAGAGATGGCGGAGCGGGGCGGGGGGTTGGAGCGTTTTTGAGGACAGCGCGAAAAGACGAAGGCCCGGTTTGGGGTTTGGGTGGTGGGTAGGCTGGGAGTTTGGTGGGAGTCAGAGTCTGGACATGCCCCAACTTGAACCCAATCGCTCGAGAACCTCAAAGCACCCAGTAGCCTGTTTGATTTCTTGATTCTGCACCCTCCCTCTCTACCATACCACTACCGGGATCCACAGGAGTTGGGCGGTTAATGGACACCCCGAATCACCTTCTTTTTGAGGGCCTATTCATAGACACCCCGAACCGGGAGCCCTGGGATGAGGTCCCTTTATGTAAAGCTTCTCATATTTTTTCGGCTTTGCCATCGCTCGTTGCAGCGCGAGGGACCTTTGCGACTCTGGCCAAGCGCGCATGGAAGATCCTTAAAACAGTGCTGAAAGCAGCTTTCCAGCGGCATCCAGAATGGTGAGTGGCTCTTCAGGGAGCAGGCCCAGGCTTTCACTTGTATTTTATATACACAAAGCTGTTGGGCTTGATCCCGTTTTGTTTGAAGGTCTTCTTGAGATCCACCTTCTTTCCACCCTTCAGGGACAACTCAATGTCCCGGCCGTCACGAATCGATTCATGTAGACTGGCATACAGGCCGCTGGCTCTTTGCTCGTCAAAGCCCTCCATCTGATAAACAAGTCCGACCTCCCGGCCGGCCAACAACCCGGTCACATAGGCTTCATCAGCACTGTTTGCGACCGGAGCCTTGGCATTGTCTTCTCCACCTAGAGCTGCATTCTCCTTCTTGAGCTTGGCATTCTCGCGCTTCAGGGACTCCAAGGAGGCCGCAGGACGCTTCTTGGACATGTCAACAGCGTCAGAAACTCACTGCGAGCCAAGCGAGACTTGGCCCTCACGCTAAGCTTTCTTGAGCCAAGCTCGAAACTCCAAGCAAACAAGCACTGCATATCATATACAATATAATATATTATATTATACTATATTATATTATTACTAAATGTTAAATTATAAGCGCTCTCTATTCTATATAAAAGATCAGCTTGGTGCAACCCAAACGACTGAAAGCCATTTGAGGCCAGGGCAACTGGCGACCGGACAAAAGCAGAAGGGGAATTGATTCACTCTACTGCAACCCTTGGAGTTCCCTCGTTCATGTGGATGTGAACCTCTCAATCAGAGGGTTTATTCCCAAAAAAACACCCGGCGCCGGCGCCTCGCCCCAAACCGTGTTCCCCCCGCCCCCACCTTGTAGCTCTGCAAACATGAGATGCCCATCTTCGACATCACTTTCAAGATACCTGCCCACCGGGAGCGCGCGCAACGCGCGCACGAATGGCGCCCAGCCCACGCACCGAACCCCGTTCTGCCGCGCCGCGCCGGGCCCGGCGCTCCCAAGCGACATCGAAGAGGTTGTCCTGGTCGTCTCACCGGAGTTGCACCCTTTCTCAAGTGGGTGTGTACTGTCCCGTGACTGGGCTCCGTTCGGCCCACCTCCGGCAATCGGTTCGAAGGGCCAGGGGTGGGTGAGAGGTCGACTGGGGGGTCGAAGACCACCGGTCCACCGGATCAGAGATGGGACGAGACGAGACAGGAGCCCTAGGGTGTGTACCCTCTCTCCAACCATCAGCGGCTACCTGGATGGGATGGCCCCGAGGTCAGACTCGGGAGACCGGACCTCCCCTTGGGGTCCGAACGGCTCGACCGGATTCGAGCTGTGCCAAGCTGTGCCAAATGCTTCTCCTTTGAGATCAAAAAAGGGAGCAGGGGGCAGCACCATGGAAAAGCCTTGGAGGTAGAATCAGCAACATCGCTTCAACAGCGTTGGCCTCCTGGTATTTGGTGCTCCAGGCTGAGGTGGGCTTCCCACAGAAACCGAGCCATCCTTGCCCTTTCCGGGCGGTAGTGCTCCCTCTTGACAAACAAGAGAATTGGATATAATTTTATGATTTTTATGTTCTTACCTTTTCAATCTCAGAGCAACATACAGAGTGCTTTTGTCAAAAGAACAGAGCAAGACATCCTGTTCACGCATGAGAGATATGTGCCAACGTCAAGGGTGAAAGACTGCTGGACCAATGTGCTGAATCTCCGCCCTATCTCAATTTCCTCGGATTTTTATCATCGGGAATCGGGGCTTGGAAAAACATAATAAATATGTCAATCAATTCAATATCCTTTCGATAGGCTCAACATTGAATCGGACAGCATGCAGTGTTCCCTTTGGACCAGAAAAAAACATAAAAAAGTCCCTGCAAAATCATGGGAGGTCCATATGGGAGGTCCATCCCGAAAAGAATAACCAGCAAATGCTCGCTTCGGTCTCGCGCGCCTGAGTCGGAGCCGCTCCGGAAGTTCTCAATGCGCTTGTTGAGGGGAAGCTGGCAGCCTCTCACCCTCAACAAACTCAAGTAGCCTGGGCTCGCGGAGCTTGGAGGGTGGGTGGAGCGGGTGGTGTCGGGTTGATGGGCCTAGTGAGGGCATGGAGGACGGTCAAGTAGCCTGGAACGTCTTGCGGGGTGGAGGTCGAGTTAGGGGGTTGGAGGGTTGTCCAATGGGTCGGATGTTTGGTTTGCTTCCATTCTGAATCTCGAGACGACGTCACATGAACCAGATACATGGTCAGTTAGAGTCCAGGTAGAGGGGAACTGGCGAACACTGGCGAACTGCCCTCTCGGTTCATGTCTTTTGGACCTATCGAAGGACCTGGACTTACAGGACTCACCGGACTGGACGAAATGGGGTGGTGAAATGGGGTGCCCACCCGAATCACCTCTGGACAGGGCGGACTGCGGCTAGACACTCCAGGGCACCGGGAGCCCCCCCGTTTTTTCCTTCCGCCGCAGTTGATACGTTTCACTTCTCAGCCATTTCGTGGCAGTTGGGGATTCACCAGAGCCCTGGTCGGCTTGTTTATTTCTAAAGGTCGTTGCGGGCCTTGCAATAGCAAAAGATTCCTACAAGAACTCTGACAAGAAGGCTTTTTGCCCAAACCGACCCGAAGCTGTTCCCTGTTCGAAGACTTCCCACTTGGAAACATCGAAATGAAATGGATCTGATCGTTGCACAGATGCACAAAATTCTTATAAAATCCGTTTGACATTTCAAGCTCCGGTGGTCAGCTTTCGGGTCAAAGCTACGCATGGTTCATGTAGCCTTTGCATATCCTTTAGTCTGTTTTGGGGGGTGCAGAAAAAGAATAACAAGAAAAAGGAACCCCCATGGTTTTTTCACCATTTACCCCTGTGTTTTGGACCTTGTAACAAGGGGTACACTTTCTCCCCCCAAAAAAAGAACGAACACAAAAAAAGTAAAAACAACCCTCCGAATAAAACTAAAAATGGATCCTTTCAGTCCTTTCCTTTCGGGGGAACTTCGACGCGTCTACGGGTCAAAGCGGCAGAGATATGGGTAGATGGCATCACAGCCGAAGCCCAGAAGGCAGCAGAAGTGATGAATCTCCTTAGGATCGCTTGGAACATGCCACAGTTCTTGGGACGAAAATGGCAGTTGTGGAGTATGGCAACATCACGGTGGCGAAGGATGAAGAAGGCTGGTGGCGCTACATTCACTCACCCTCCGAACAGCTCACGTTACATGACAGCGATGGGATCGCATGGCCCCCGAGGTTCGGATGAGATGTTTTTCAGTTCGAAGACCAGAGCCGGAGTGTATCCTCCTTGGTACGGGGCTGGCCAGTGTCTAGACAGGTTTTTTAAATGGTCCGATAAAAGAGTGCTGAACCCTCAAGCCTCCAGGTCGGGAAGTGCAGCTGAATGGTTCTCATCCTCCAGAATTCTTGGAAATCGCACTTCCCCTGAATTCCCCAAAAACATCTGAGAATTCAACCCATTTCCGCACTTCTTAGCCCTCATCCCCCAATAAAATCATTGACGTTGGAGCCCTCAACCCACCGCCCAAACCGACCGACCGACCGGTCTCCCTCTCAGCTCGACCGAGAGTCATAGGCGTCGGCGGCCTCGACGATGAGCGCCACCTTGGCGCGGAGCTTCTTGGCGATGAGGTCCTTCGATGCGTGTGTCGTGTGGCCTGCTTCGGGGTGCGTCTGCGTCGGGTGAAGGTGTTAGGCTTCGGGGCGTGGTTTCTGTTGGCGCACATGGGCACGACTTCTGATGGCAAGAGTATTAGGAGTTGTCCTGACAAATTTGCAGGCACGTTCTAGCGGTCAGCCGAGGCACTCTTAGTGGATCTTGGGAGATGTGTGACGTGTGTGGCGTGTGTTTTTTGGGGAGCTGGGGGTGCGTGGGAGCTAACGGATCTGTGGAGCCACAGTGGAGGGACAGCTGAGAAAAGAGTTTTCCTGGCGAAGAAAAGAACTTTGAAAGAGGGTGGGAAACAAGATCTCTATCTCTTTCAGTTGATCCTATGATTTTTCTATGTGATAGACTCCAATGCTCTACATCAATTCCCCCGTCTGACGTGACGACCGCTGTGAAAACACACACACTCGCCCTCGCGCTCGCCCCTTCACCCACACAGCGAAGGATGCACAGCGCGCGTAAGGTCCTGATGCAAGGCACCCACGGCAAGCAAGGAGCCTTGGATCGGCGCACGCGCAGACCAAACGCATCGGATCGACTGACGGAGGCCGGTCTTCCAGAAGGTGGCATCGGTCGGTCGCAGGTCGCAGGCATAGGTTTGTATCTTCTGGATCCTAACAGATGGCATAGGATGGATTCTATGACCAGGGCCCAGTGGATGATGGTGAGTAAAATCGTTCAAAAAGCGTGGAATAATTGTTTGCTGACTGTCACAGAAGAGTTCCGACAGACCCAAGACATAGGATGGGATGGGATCCTCGGTGTTCATAGGCGTCGGTGAAGAGCTTCTGCTCTGGACATGTCCAGTCGACTAAAGAAGGCTTTCCTGCCTGGGTGACATGAGTCTGGGAGCTGTCCAAAACTTCAGTGTTTCCTCCGCTGAAGGCATCATTTTGGGACTCCTAGGGTCCAAGGAATGGGTCTGAAATCCTGCCAGGTGAGGAAGCTGCTTGCTGGAAGAAATCGAGTCCCTTCTGCACCCACCTGACATTGTCACACTGGATTCAGTGGAGTACCCTCCAACTTTGAGCTGATGCGCCTACCCACCGACCTTCAACGGCGTCCCCGCCACCCACCTAATGTAGACTCTTGATTCATAAACCCTTCCAGTTGAATTGGAAGTCCTCTTCATATGGGGGGTTTATTCATCAAGAGTCTACAAAAATAACATTTCACTTCCCCCACCTAATCGCCCAAGGCACTCACCGGCACGCGGCTCTGCCCCGCCTTTCGGTGGCTCAGCACCAGCACCGCCGCGCCATCGCCCAGGATCGCCGCTTCGGCCTGGCGATCAGCACCAGTGGTGGGATGTCCATGTCCAGCAGCCTTTTTGGGGTCACTGAAAACAGTGCGCCGCAATGTCACGCACTCCAATTCCCAAATCACTTGCAACTTGAAGCATGGGCCAATTCCACAGTGGGGACTCACTGAAGAAACGCCGTGGCTGGCAGATCGGTGGAATTGGACCAAGAGTTCGATTGAACCGGTGAACAAACCGAACTGAAACCACCTCTTGGAATTGGGGTGGGGGTGGTGGCCAATCCTCTCGAAAAGCTCTAAGTTGATCCACTAACAACTCAGGGTAGTAAGTAAGTGTCTTCATGTTCGGTTGTTCACATCCAGACAAAACCAAAACTCAACAAGAAAAAAGGCAGACCAAACCAAGCTGACCAAGTATCAATTGGTCCATCAGACCCCATGGACATGCTCACCTTGGATGAAAACCGACTCACCAACGAAAAACAGCACGATCCGTGCAGAATCGGGTCGAAAACAACGAAGACAGCACGCTGTGTTGCGGGGCCGAAAAACCCCATCCGCCCACCACGCAAACGCGCGCGCGCGGCGCGCGCGCGCGGGGTGGTGTGTGGCGCGGACTTCCGTCCATTGCGCCTCTTTACAGATCTGGTCCAAACGCTCCTGGCCGCGATCTCCCAAACGCTGGGACGGGTGCGAGCAGATCCCCAAAGGCAGAGTGCGGAGTGCCAAGAGTCGGGCTCCATGTTGGAAGGGAGGAGGGTGGAAGTGGAACGATGTCGACCAGTTGCGAGACCCCAAAAATTATTTTGCCACCGACCATTGGAGAACACAAAGACACAAAGAAGTAGAAAGGGCCTAAAATGCATCTTCTTGTACCTGAGTCTTCTGTGAATGTCCAAGGCGGCGGCAGCGAAAGACTCGAATCCCAACCACCACCCAACCACCGTAGGCCCCAACCCCCCCCCCCCCCGAACCCCTCCCCCCAACGCGCCTTCAACAAGTTGTTCCCGCGGATGGCACGGTCCGCCTGCCGGGCCTTCGACGTGCTCTCGTTCAATCCATACGTCATGTCCTCGGCCGGAGCAGCTCGACCGTCTCGGCCGTGGCCGGGTCGGGTTTGGGTTTGGGTCCGTGAAACGGTTTGGGCCGGGCAGTCGGTGGAGTTGGCAGTCCAGACTTCATCCAAATGGGTTTTTGGAGATTTGGAGATACAAGAGCAAGTGTTTCTGTACATGTGTCCCTACCAGATCTACCAGGGAATCCGATGAATCAGCAGATGTTCCAGTAAGGTCCTCGGAGCAGCGCCAATCTAGAATGGTTGCTGGCCAAACGCCATGTTTCTATCATAGAAATGGATGAGTGGGCACGAGGAAAACAAACTCAATGGATGATGATGATGATGATGATGATGATGATGATGATGATGATGATGA